ATGAACGGTTACATAAAATACATCTCATAACCACCACAAAGATCAAGATATAGAACTTTTCTAGCATCCAAGAAGGCTCCATGGTGCACCACCAGATCTGTAGTAACCACAGCTCTTCTGACCTCTGTCATATATCCATTGATAAGTTTTATGTGATTTTGATCTCATATAAAGGGAATCATACAGTATATACTATTGTGTATGTGGCTCCTTTAATTCTGCATTGCTTGTAAGCTTCATATTAGGAATATAGTTTGTTTCTTTTTCATTGCTGTGTAGTATTCCATCACATAAATTTACCATGCTCTTTACCCACTCGTTTTACTATTGATGGAACTTTGGGTTATTTCTAGAGCTTTGAGTTATTATGCCTAAAGCCGTTATAAAGAGAAGTGATACTTATTTCTATTGACTGTGTACACTCAATGAATTGAATTCCTGGGTCTTTTTACTTTTGCTTTCGATGTCTTCTCTTTTAGTCCCAGACCATAATTTAACCTTTCTAAGTTTGTCAAATGAATCATAACAACGCTTATCATTTTAGGCCAGAGAAGTGATCCAGGTGAAGAATTTCATGTCTTCAAAGGGTCCACCAATAGGGCTATGCCTTTCTTAGTTCATTCCTGTGGGACCCCTAATGGATTTTCCTCTCCCTTTTCCTTCTCCCCAACTTTTTGTTATTTGTGTCTAAACATACATCTTCCCAACTCCTCATGATGTGAGAAGAAGAAGAAAAAAAAGATAGACGATTGAAGGGGACATCTAAGGACTTCTTTCTCATCTATTCCTCACTGAGATAGTGCTGTGGTACAACAGAAGTGCTGGGTCAGAATGAAGGTACTGTATTTTTAAATCCAGACCAGGCTTCTGCTTTCTAGGCTAAAGGCTGTGGATTGAATCACATCACTTATCTGCACTTCAGCCAGGGTGTTCATTTCTATCAATGGTTCCCAAACATGGCTGCAAATCAGAATCACCTGGGGAGGCTTTAAAGTTTGTTATAATAGTGGTACATGTTAATGGAAAAGATCAAATAACACAAGAGACTGTGAAATAAAGTGTAAACATCTCTCCCCTCATAGTCTGTATAATATCCCCTTTTCCTACCCATAAATTCCTGGATGTTGTTCTAAGGTTTTAAAATAAAAATCTCTGGGCCCCACTCCAGACCTAATGAAGCAGAATCCCTGAGGTCCTAGAAATTTACATATTTGTTTAGAACTTCATAAATGATTTTGATAAACATTCAAGTTTGGGAATGAATCTCTTGACTGGTATCTGAGATCCCTTTCAGTAAAATCCATCCCCTATACTCTACAAATTATGTGATTTAAGTTTGCCAGCTGCTAATGGGATTGGCCCTAGGCATAACTAAAGCAACAATGCCATTAAAGCAATTTTATTTTTACCTCTTTCTATTCATGCTTTCTCTCTTCATCTTTAGCTGCTCTTTCTTCTTTCTTTTTTTTTTTTTTTGAAACGGAGTTTTGCTCTTGTTGCCCATGCTGGAGTGCAATGACGCGATCTCGGCTCACTGCAACCTCTGCCTCCTGGGTTCAAGCGATTCTCCTGCCTCATCCTCCCGAGTAGCTGGGATTACAGGCATATGCCACCATGCTTGGCTAATCTTGAATTTTTAGTAGAGAGGGGAATTTCTCCATGTTGATCAGGCTGGTCTCGAATTCTTGACCTCCGGTGATCCACCTGCCTAGGCCTCCCAAAGTGCTGGGATTACAGGCGTGAGACACTGCACCTGGCCCTTTAAAATTTTTCTAACTCTTTGGGCCACAGAGTGTAAAACTTCTAGTTGGAAGGTACTGACACATTCTTTTAAAACTCTAGCTCCTTTTTGGTTAGTCCCATAAACTAATCAGTGTTAATAAGTTTGTTAGCTACTAAATATATTACCTTTCCCAGGTGACGTAATGCCTTATGCTGAAATGTAAATTTCCCTAATACCCTTAACAAGTCGCATGGGGTTTGGGGGCTCCTTCCAGAATAGCCAGAAAGATGCTTTTTGTCTAGCAAGCTTTCAAATAAAATTCACGTGCACAACATTTGTTCATTTTTACCATCACTAATATACTCAGTTCAAGTATCCGAAAAAGGGCATGGGTTAAAAGAAATAGATACCAACTGACACAGAAATTGTGAGGAACTTAAATCACAATCAGGCAAAGTGGTTACTATCATCAATTAATAGGAGAAGAAGATTTACTTAGATGAAGGATCCGGTCCAAATTACTCTAGAACAATAAACTGCCTCCTAAGCCCTTTACTACCCAAACCATATAACTGTAGAAGAAAAATCAGGGAAAGGAAACTTGGACATAATTGCTGTGATTAAAAAGGAGCTCAAAGAAGACAATAAGAAATGTACTTTGTGCGGCCAAAGATTGGGAAGTAGGAAAATATAGAATTCAAGACATAAAACCTAATCCCTACTACTAATAATAATCCAATAATTCTATTTTGAATATATACAGCATTTCTTTTATAAACTTTAAGAATAGTTATATCTATTACCTCAAAAAAAAATTCTATTTGAAGAGAGTGCCAGACAATATCCCTGCATTTTATTTATCCATAGAAAAACTAATCAGGGGTTAAACAACTTTTTTTCTTTCTTTCTTGTATTATTATTATTATAGTTATACTTTAAGTTCTGGGGTATATGTGCAGAATGTGCAGGTTTGTTACATAGGTATACACGTGCCATGGTGGTTTGCTGCACCCATCACCCTGTCATCTACATTAGGTACTTCTTCTAATGCTATCCCTCTCCTATCCTCCCACCTCCCAACAGGCCTCAGTGTATGATGTTCCCCTCCCTGTGTCCATGTGTTCAACAACGACTTATGAATGAGAATATTCGGTCTTTGGTTTTCTGTTCTTGTGACAGTTTGCTAAGAATGATGGTTTCTAGCTTAATCCATGTCCCTGCAAAGGACATGAACTCATCCTTTTTTATGGCTGCATAGTATTCTGTGGTGTATATGTGCCACATTTTCTTTATCCAGTCTATCACTGATGGGCATTTGGGTTGGTTCCAAGTCTTTGCTATTGTGAACAGTGCTGCAATAAACATACGTGTGCATATGTCTTTATATTAGAATGATTTACAATCCTTTGGGTATATACCTAGTAATGGGGTTGCTGGGTCAAATGGTATTTCTTGTTCTAGGTCCTTGAGGAATCACCACACTATCTTCTACAATGGTTGAACTAATTTACACTCCCATCAACAGTGTAAACGCGTTTCTATTTCTCCACATCCTCTCCAGCATCTGTTGTCTCCTGATTTTTTATTGACTGCCATTCTAACTGGCGTGAGATGATCTCACTGTGGTTTTGATTAAGTTCAAAGGGCAAAACGTGAATGAGCATCAGTCGTCCTGCCTTCTAGAGAAAATCACATAATTTTACAGAAACATTGTATAAATTGCTTTTCTTGCAGATGTGTGCCTAGGCAGGAGAGTGTGTATATTATTTGAAGGGGTGGCTAATACTGCAGTTAAACATACTGGTGGAGCACATCAAGTTCATAACTTCACAACTTCATAATTTCCTTCACTATGAGATCTTTGTTCAGGACACCCCTATTCTGCCTTAACACCTTATTCTATGAAACTTAGCTCATGTCTTGCCTTCCCTGAGCAACCTCTGAGCTGGCTGCCTCTTTCTTTATCTCCACTGTCCCTGTCCATAATCATGTCTTTCTTAGGCCTTACCACCTTGATCTGAAATGTTCTATGGGTGCAGCAGCCTCCCACTCGGTTGTAGGTGGTGCAGGGAGCTTATTCACGCTTGCATCCTCATCACTTAGCACAATGCCTGGCATAATGTCAGTGCTCAACAGGGGTTGATAATACATCCTGTCCTTCCAATGTCCAGTAGTTATTTCAGTAACTAAATCCTCTTTTTAAAAACCACCTTATGCAAAGTTAATCCTTTGTGGTTCAAAAAGTTCCAATACGACTTAAAAGACAAATTTTCCATTACTTTGTCATCTCATCTGTCGAATTCATCTGTACTTTGTGTAATTCAGGATCTCCCACTGTGTGTGTTCCCATGGAGTTGGAGTCCAAGAGATGCTGTTAGTAAGAGTTTCTGTGTGGGAGACACGTTACTCAATCTAGCAAGGCAGCCAGTGCAGCAGTTTAGCACACAGGTTCTGGGGGCACACAGCAGGCTCTGTCGGGCAAGTGATTATTTTACTTCTATGTGCTTCTATTTCCTCTTCTGTAAACTAGGACTAACAGTTTTTCTCCCTTATAGGGTTGTTGCCAAGATTTGCTGAGTATTACACAAAAGGTTTGGAGTACTTAGTGCTAAGAACATACTGACTACTATTATTAAGCAAAGTTAAACAATTTCTTTTTCTTATTTAGTTTAGTGCTTTTTTTTTTTTTTTTTTTTTTGCTTGCTGTAGGACTACTGAGAGCCTTTACCATGCTGATATATCCATGAATCTCCAGGGACACAGTATTCCCCACATTTACTTAATAGAAGAGCTACTAACATACCCCATAGGTAATGGGCCTCAAAATATACCTTAGGAAATTCTTACTTAATAAATTTAAAAGAGCGTTAACATTTTCTGAACCCAAATTGGGACACTGATTTGATCAGTATGGCTATAACTTGGGAGCATTTGTACATAATATTAATATTTGAAGAGGGGACTGGTCTAGCAAAACAAGTAAATAATAATAATGAAAAACTCAAGACCTATGTGTTACCACATTTAAAATATTTCTTTTTTAAAAAGAATTAAAATACAAGTGAAATGACTTTTATTAATAATAAAGTGGGAACTGCAAATATGGCCCAAATAAATACATAGGCTTTACATATTATTTTCTGACACAGTTAAAAAATTATTGCTGATAAAGATGAAAGGCCAGACTTCCTTATTCAAAAACTCAGGCCATTTATCTTAATTCTGCTACATCTGATACGAACTTCCTCTAGAGCCAGGAAACTTTGCAAGTATTAAATAACGTGAAAGAAGGAGAGAAAGAAGGAAGTAAGTGGCCAAAGTGACAAAAGAGGAACAAGTTCTAAGCCAATGCATGTTTAAAACATAACCAAAAGAACAAAAGAGAGAGCTTGACACACCAATCTAGAGGTAAGTAAGAACCTGTTTTAAGGTATTTGGGTAATGAAAAACTGTAAGAAACAAGTTTGTATTTAATTAATCAATGATTTTTATCTTATCACAGTTTTTAGAAAAAATGTCTTAGGTAGTCATAAGGAGGGAACCCAATTTACAAACTGAGAGTAACATTAATGCTCCTTTACAATATGATTATGCTTTGCTGTTACCTTGTTTCCAAACAGAACTGCATTTTCTGACATGAAAATTCCTGAAGTTTCTTAACAAATTTCAATTTTTAAAAACATGCTAAATTATTAGTAACTCTGTTGGAACTGCTTTCCAAAATGAAAACAGAGTCTTCTTTCAAACTGGGTAAACATTATTTAGGTGTTAAACTACATTCGAAGGGTTATTGTTTAAAATATGTTTTTTATTACAGTAGGTCTTTGTTTATGTCTCACAGGATTTTTTCCTATAATATTATTTTGAAGAAAAGGACGCATTTCTTTTTCTGTAAAAAGTCTTCTTGTCTTTATCTCAGTAAATACCTCTTAGACAAACAATTTTAATATTTTGGATGTGCCAGAATGTCTACTCTACACAGAATAACATAGATGGTAAAAATACCTTTTCTTCTTAAAAGTTAAGAGGGCAATTTATTGCCTTATCCTCAGCTGTGGAGGGGACGATAGTTAGCATTCCTCAGCCCTCACCCCCACTTCTGTTGCAGGCCTAGTATCTTTCCAAAAGTTGATTAACTTCAATCAATATTTAAAGCTTGTTTTGTAAATTTATTTCAAATATTCTAGCAAATAATTTTTTAAATCAGTAACCATATATACCGTAAAATATCTTGCAGATAATTGGTGCTCATCTGTTTCAGACAGAAAATGAGATCCTAATGAATAAAGTCATTTGGCTAAATTTTTGCCCTTGAACGTAAGCGTGGCTGGCCTTATACAAGAGGGACCCTATGGCTTGCAAAGCTTATGTGGCCGACCATACAGTTCTCAACCTCAATGTTACTCCCCAAAATTCCAAGAAGATTAAAAAGTTTCTACATCTGGGGTGCTTGTCCCTATATTTTTATCAAAAAACTTTTATCAATTACTGCACATCTTAATTTTGTTACACAAAATGTCAAATTAAATATTTGCACATTAATATATTCTAACCTTGGAAAAATTTATGAAAGTTCATTACCATTGAACTTTTCATGAATACTCACTGAAAGCAGAGCACCACTTTGTGAATGTCTATTTTTCTTCTTCATTTTTCTGTTATTAGCCTATAAGAAGATTACTTCATTCATTAATAAACATTTAATAGATCGGTCATTCTGTGTCTAATGCTGGTGTTGGTATTACAAAGGTAAATAATATATGATTTACAGCCTTCAAGAACCTCTGAGCTAATCAATCTATACAAATTTAGTGACTGATTAGCACGCTGCAGATATTTGGATAAATAATATTTGGGGGAACTTTTTACTTGAATCCTCATTCAGTCACATTTTAGTTGTAAGGAAGTTAGTTAACTTCTTTAACTCTCTTTTCTTATCTATAAAATGATGCTACAAAGAGTACCTTGTACATATAGCAGCTATAGGATTAAATGAGATAATCCTTGTAACAGTGTTTAAAAGCTGAAGCTCTTAACTAAATATTATTGAGAATGACATTCCATAGATGATGATGATCACCCCACAAGCACTATTGAATCTATTTCTGTATCTAGACTGAAAATATACAGTAATAATGTTTTGTTGCTAAAACCACAATGGAACATGCAGCCCAGCTGAACACCTCCCCTGCTTTTTTCCTTGCCATTTTAAAGCATCAACAGAAAACAATGTAAAATCTTGGGTGAAAGTTATTTTCTGAAAGCTATGAGAAAACCTGTGATATGAAGACTTTGAAAATATATTGGTTTACTTTAAAGATCTCTTTTCATGTTTTAAGTATAAACTACGCCCTTGAGTTTTAAACCATGATGTTAAGCAATTAGATGCTGAAATATGGAGTCATTTTTAAATGCATTCTTTCATTCAATAAATATTAATTGGATGCATTTTCTGTGCCAGGTATTGTGCTGTACTCTAGGAATATACAGATGAAATGACCCGAATCCTGCCGACCATTTAACCAAGTAAGAAGACATACAATTCTCTCTCATTTAGGTTATCACACTATAATAGAGAATGGACTCATTAATGTAGGATTGCAGAGGAAGCAATGGTTAAGGAAAGGACATGGACTCTGTCTGTGCCAAAGGAGGATAGGCAGGGCTTCACAGAAGAGGTGACAGGTAATGAAGTTGATTGCGTGTGTCTGCATGTGTCCCATTCCTTCTAAATGTGCTCAGAACATTATCTTTCACCTGAAAATTGTTATCCTAATTGTCAAAAGCTATGTGGATATCTAAGTGATAAAACCACTCAGGCTTGGTCAGAGACAGGATTTTTCTAACTCTTTGTCCTTTCATCACAATAGGTAGTGTATTCTATATTGAAAGTAGAAGCTCACTGTATGCTGGTGTTCAATGCATTGGTGAAAATCAGTAATTTTTCTATGTTACATAGTAAATATGCAATTAACCTATTTTTAATTTATAGCAGGTTTCTGTATGGCAGATCATTCAACCTTCTTTTTCTTGAGTTTTCTACTCTGCTGTCATCTTCCACTCATTTCTGCTTCATTTTGTGATTCATTAACAGGAAAGGAGTGGAATGGAATGAAATCCCCCTGATACAGTACAATTACACATTCATGGCTGTAATGTGAAGAGCAACACACACGAAGAGAGCCGTCTTCCAAAAATAAGTATATACGCTCTTTCCCCTAATCACATCAGGGCTTTACCAGATAATGTTCTTTCAGATCTGAAAAGGAAATGCCTGAAAGAGCTTCCAAGCTCCTTTTTGAATAATACTAGGCTACAAGGAATTACATTGGTCTGTTCCTGTGAATTTGCTAAGGTTAACACTAAACCACTAAAGAGCACTGTTTGTACAGAAATGTTGAAAAGCTGTGGAAATAATTTAGCGGCCATTTCTGTAGGAATTATGCTTCTTTTACTCTTAGTGGTTTGTGGAATCGGGTGTGTTTGGCGCTATAAACACCATGTTGTCACACGATTTACCTTACCGAGGTTTTTGCAAAGGAGAAGCAGCAGGAGAAAAGTCTGTACTAAAACATTCTTGGGCCCCCGCATCATTGGCTTAAGGCATAAAATCTCAGTTGAAACCCAAGACCACAGATCTGCTGTCAGGGGAAATGACATACACAGCAACTATGAAAATGTGGAAGCGGGTCCTCCCAAAGCTAAAGGAGAAACCGATAAGGAACTATATGAAAACACACAGCAGTCTAATTTCAAGGAGCATCTCTATGGAAATGAGACATCTTCTGACTATTATAACTTCCAGAAGCCTCTTCCTTCTGAAGTTCCTCAAGACGAAGACATATACATTCTTCCAGATTCATATTAGCTTTTCAAAATATTGACTTTTGTTATTGGATGATAAATATTCACTGTAATTTTTCAATAGCAAAGGAATGGAATCAAACTAAATGTTTATCAATAGTAGACTGGATAAAGAAAATGTGGTACACATACACCATGGACTATTATGCAGCCATAAAAAAGAACAGGATCATACCCTTTGCAGAAACATGTCTTTAGCAAACTAACACAGGAACAGAAAATCAAATGCCACCTATTCTCACTTAGAAATGGGAGCCAAATAATAAGAACACATGGAAAGAAAGAGAGGAACAACAGACACTGGGACCTACTTGAGGGAGGATGGTGGGAGGAGGGAGAGGTTCAGGAAAAAACAAAAACTATTGGTACTGTGTGTGATGAAATAATCTTTACACCAAACCCCCAAGTCACACGTGTTCCTATATAACAAACCTGCACGTGTACCCCTGAACATAAAATAAAAATTAAAATATTAAAAATAATTCACTGTGGTTTTTATTGTACTGATGTCATTATTAATCAAGTTCTGATAAGGAGGTGGTCTCTGCTCTATCTTCACCCTTCTGAATCCTATGTGTATCACTGTGGATTAATTCTAGATATCTTCTCCTCCCTCCTCGCCCCAGATTAAATATGTATTATATGATATTGATTCTTCCTTCTAAATGTTACCTGTTATCTCTTTCCTTGATTTCTACCATGATCTTTATCTAGTTTCAGAATTATTGTCACAGGCTCCTAACTGGTCTTCCTGCTTCTAGTTTCTACCAACTCCATCAATTACCCACGGTATTGCCAGATTTATCTTCAGAAAATATTCCCAGCAGCCACATCATTTCTTTTGCTTAAAATGTTTTAATGCCCCCTCTTTGCAAAAGACATTATACCCATAATTTGAACTCCAAAATTTATGGTTTTCCACAGTTGGTTCCAATTCACTTTTCCAATGACTTCTCCTACTATCTCTCATTTCTTTGCTTTCATCAGAATCATCCCAAAACCTGCCAAACTTATCCTGCCTTCACAGCTTTGCTTTTCTCCCTTCTCTCTCAAGTCTGCTTCAGATCATAAGCTTTCCACGCGTCTCCTGAATCACTCCAAACCCGCATTTACCTTTTTATTTTCTGATAGAAGTTTTGATGCCTCTTCAATTCTTAGGACATTTAAACATGAATGTTGCCACAGCATTTTATTACGTAGATTTATATGAAAATGTCTTAAATTCCTACCTAAATAAAAAGGAACTGCTTCATGTGATGTTCTAGCAATTTTTAACACAAATGCCTAGAACATAAGGCATTAAAAGCCTCATATTCCACTGACAAGAATTGAATTGTACATTTTGCTAAGCAGTTTTGAGAAAAAAATCTAATAAATTCATCTATTGTTCATCCATACAAGGAAGTTGAGTGTCTTCTGTCTACTGGTTATTGTGCTGTGCACATGGGGGACATGGGTTGGTGGAGGAGTTACAATAATAAAAAGAGAGTCACGGATTCTGAATACATGCAGCCTAGTAGGAAAGAAAAGATAATAAACAAATGGATACAATACTGGTCATAAAGCTATGAATAGCTCATCTCTAAATCCACTCTTTCATTTGCTCCTCTGAATTGCTTGGTCTCAGCCTCTGCAAACATTTCTTATGCCAGGTGGATTCATTGTAGTCTCTACCAATAGGGCGCACTAAAGACGTCCAAAAGGCAACAGGAAGCAACAGGGACTTGCTCCTGCCAGTTCCCGCTGGTGCCCCCACAGGAATTATGGTCATGTGGTTTATTACAGCATCGCTGGTGGTTTGCTGCTTTCTAGTTTCTTCCATCACTCCCAGGACCAGCTTCCCTGCAACCTGTCAGAAGTGTCAGCACCGGCCAGGTGGCACCCTCCTTTAGACTCTGACAGCCAGAACCCGCCTGAAGTAGTGCAGGAGACAAGTGGCACCCTCAGAGTTCTGAGTCCCAGCCTGGCAGGGCTCCTCTTGTGAGGTCTGGTAACTGTCAGCCAAGATTGCTACAGTTACTGTCTCTGTGGTGCCTATGTCCCCTTTGTGTTTTCTCGTCCTGCCAATGTCTGTTTAGCCAATTATCTCTATTAAATTCTCTCTGTCAAAACAAACTGATATGGTTTCTATATCCCTAAATGGACCCTGAATGAGACATATCAAAATAATAGTAGGTGCTTTATAAAACATTCTTTCTGTTTTTGAAAGCAATGGGGTTGAGTAGGAAAGAGTATTTTGGTTTTAATAGGCTGGTCAAAGGAGGCCTCACTAGAGACACACTTAAGCTGAGACTTGAAGGTAGAAGGAAGTTATAATAAATGTGATGGGCTAAAGGTAAGAATGGGACCCACAAGTAAAAAGAATCTAGCACATAAGAGAATATATGGTACTCTGGGAACTTAGACAGCCATTGTGGATGGAGCTTCCTGAGGAAGGGTTAAAGTGACACCGGCTGGGTTGGTGAAGGAGGGAATAGGAGACCATGAGCTTCTCATAAGTCTTAGTTTGTGGCTTTGACTCTATTATAGGTGCAACAGGAATCAGTAAAATGTTTTAAGCAGAGAAGTGATGATGACATTAGCATTTCTTAAAAGTTTTACTGGGTTGAGAAGTGACTGGAAAGAGGCAAAAATGGAAGTGGGTAGGGCAGCTAAGAAGCTTCTGCATTTAAGTTAGACTAGAGTGGCTGCAGTGCAGAGCAGCACATTGACAGTGTTGCCCCTCCTTCAAGGAGATGGCACACGACTTACTGACAGACTCAGCATGTGTGCTTGGTCGGGGAGGGGTAAGACTGAGAGCGTGGGAAAGAGAAGAGTCTAAACAGGGATAATTGCTAAGTACTTTTTGAGATGAATGAGTTGGGCTGCTAATGATAGAAAACCACACTCCAGGGGCTTGAACAATGATAGTTCCATTTATTTCACCTGAGCAGGAAGCTACAGTTGGGCATTTGATGGCTAACATTAGCTCAATGATGCCATAGAGAAAGACCCAGGCTCTTTATTTTCTCCCTGCCACCCTTAGTGTTTCAACTTTTATCTTCGTATCTATTGCCTCATTGCCACTATATGGCTGCTGAATCTTTAAGCCTTCTATTTGTGCTTCAGCCATGAAGAAGAAATGAGGAGAAAGAGCGGCACCAGGAGATACCTATTTATCTCATTGCTCAGAAGTGTGTCACACAGACACCACCAGGTGCAGGAGTGCATGGGCAATTGAATTTTACCTCAGTACCCTCATAGAGTGGGCAGAAGAAGGAAAGGGGAGTTAAAAATTGAATGTGACTCAGTCTCTAATTTTTGCCACAGGGGCAAAACTCAGTTTTGAACATGTTTATTTTGACATTTCCTGAAATATGTCCTGAGACCCAAGCAGAAATAATCTAGTCTGCCATTTTATGTGCACATTTGGATTTTGGAGGAGAGGTCCTAGCTGGAGTTGCAAATCTAATAGTCATGAGCATTTAGGTGGTATTTACAGGAATAAGAATGGATGCCATCTCTTGGGAAGAGACCAGAGGGAGTGCAGAGTAGGGAATCAAGAAAGGAGGAAGGGGAAGAATCTAGAAGTTTTCTAGAACTTACAATCTTTTGGGGATAAATTATTGAGGAGACTATGGTAAAGGTGGCTGAGAAAGAGTGACCAGCGAGGAGATCTCTATATGGCATCATTGAGCTGACATTAGCCATCAAAAGCCTATCTAGAGGCTCATTTTTAGGTGAAATGAGTGGACTATCAGTGTCATTGACAGCTCAACTCATTCCTAATACAGCCTCCAAACCTATTTCTTCTGTAAGTCTTCCTCATCTCTGTAAAGTACTTTGCAATTATCCTGTAGACTCTTTTCTTTCCCACACTCCCAGTCTTACCCCTTCCCTACCACACACACAACTGAATTCATCAGTAAGTCCCGTGCCATTTCCCTGAATGTGTTTATCTGCACTGTAGCCACTGTGGTCTAATGTAAATGTAAAAGCTTAAATGTAAAAAAGGAAATTCCGATGATCTCTAAGAATGGTGGTTTATATTGTCAATATCTGATATATTGACATTTGTCCATTATAATTGATTATCCAAAGTGTCAAAGATGAAATTTCAATGGATTAAGTTTAAAGATTGAAGTGGTTTTATTAGCAATTCATAAATCCGACAGCATCCCATTTAAAGATTTAAACAGGTACTCCATTGGGCATGGCAGACAGTCAATTTTTATAAGACAACTTAAGCAAGGACAGTAAAATAGTATAATACACAAAGAGGATTGGTTAACATTAGGTCACTTTAGGTGACTTTCCTTGTAATTACTAAAGCACAGGGGACTTCCTTATCATGCAGGCTAAAACCGGTCTGTTTGGGGATTTGGCTATTATCTCTCTCTCGTGATTTATTAGAAGGTCAAATAAACAATTTGCAGATAAACAGCAAATTTCAGTTTGGTGGCATGAAACTTTGGCCTGAGTGACTCCATTTGGATTTGTTCTGTTGGAATCCAGTGTGGAAGCTCAGTCCAAATCAATGGACTCCCACAAATTTTATTTAACAAGAGATGTCGTGAATGTTTGACCTTTGTTTATTCTCTTTGATCAGAAAAAGATAATAAAAGAAGTATTTAGTCAATGATTCTTTGCCTAATTTTTACCTTGACTTCCTTTTTAAATTAATTGTAAGCTCTTTATCAATTGCTGAGAATAAAGAAGAACATCATTCAAGTTTCTCTTTTTACTGTACATACCCTTTATTCTTCATCCCTTCTCCTATCCTCTCTTCTCTCCCTCCCTCTCTCATTTCTCCTTCCCTCATCAATATGCCTCCTCCTCCTCTTTCTTTTCTTCTAACTGTATCTTTCTCTCCCCTACAAATCCCTCTTATCTGCATTCTTTATTATAGCATTTCTTTTCTTTTTCAAAATCTCAAAAGCAAAAATTGTTCACAAGAGGTAAAATGAATAAAATCTGTCTGCATCAGTTGAAAGCAGCAGTTGGTGTTTGGGTTATATCATTTAAAAAAGGAACCACATGCACACAATTTAAAAGGAAGGACGTTGGGGGTGGGGGAAAGCAGACAGTAGCTACTGAGATGATTTTGTTAAATACATGCTTGTAGGGGTGTTCACATTCCATGACTTGCAGCCACTCTAAGACTGGCCAGCATCCAGCGACAATGAGCACCTGATGTCTTGACCTTGCTTTCAACCTCCAACTTGAAACATTTTGCTGCAATTTGCCTTACATTTCGCTTCTTACGCTACTATTGATCTCCACAGCAATTGGGCCCCTGATAAGCCCATTAAAAGCCTTGCTTTACAACTTCCCAGTTACTGCTTTGATAAGGGTCTGTGGGGAGACTGGGATATTGAGCTCCAAGGAGGAGAGCTAGAAGAAAGAAATCAAAAAGGGGAGGTGATGCTTGTATCCACAATGTTATGGGCTGAATGTTTGTGTTCTCTGAAATTCATACATTGAAGCATTACTTCCCAATGTGATGGTATTTGGAGGTGGGGTTTGGGAGGAATTAATAATTAGGTTTAGATGAGGTCATGAGGGTAGAATCCTCATGATGGAATTAGTGCTCTTATGAGAGAACAGAGTTCTCTCTGTCTCTCCCTCTCTCTGTCTCTCTCCCTCCCTCCCTCTTTCTCCACACACCCCTCACTCCCGCTTCCCACACCATGTGAGGACACAACAAGAAAGCAGCCATCTGCAAGCCAGGAAGTGGGTATTTACCAAAAAACAAATCAGCTAACACCTTGACCTTGGACTTTAGACTACAGACTCCGGAACTGAAATAAATAAATGTCTATGGTTTTAAGAACCGAGTCTGTGGTCTTTAGTTATAGCAACCTAAGCAAACACATGTTCAACTGCTATTCTAAGCCATTATAACTTTTTCTTAAATTCAGAGAGTGACAAGTCCAATATTTACTTTTTAGTGCTTACTTTATATGATCACTTTCCAGCAGTGTACCCTTACTCCCTCTTTTTCCCCACTTAACATCCTTTAAAGCTTCCTTTTCTCTTGTACAACCTTCAGTTGCACAAGAGTGGTTCTTCATGATCTTTCCTTGGTTCCCAACTCCTTTTCCTATCACTCTGTCCCTCAGTGATCAAGACATTTATACTTGAACTCTTCTGCTCCAATCTTTTTGAAGCATTTAATCATACAGCTCAGCATGTACTACCTATTTCTATCTGATGTCCTGCAGACATCTGAAATCCAACATGGGTATTTG